TTTTCCCCTTGGCTTTTTTCCTTTTTCTTTCATGCAAAGCATGTGAGTGACATCGCTTAAGCACTAGGGATGCTTTTTGCAACACCGTTTGAAAATTATCTAGATTTTATCATATAATAACGTGTTTGTATTACTATGACATTTTTCACTTTTTAATTGCATTATAAATTATATCGGATATGTGCTTGTATGATTATGTAAGCTAGTTCCTATAGTTCTGGATGTTAGAAATTGATGATTCACAATTTTAAGTAACTGAATGTTGGGAATGTCATAATGTAAGTTCATGCTATTTTGAGTATGCATTCTAAATCCACAAAAAGTTTAAGGGTGTCTGTGTAGAGGAATTAATTAGGAGACACATTCCTTCTTCAAGGGAGTATGTGGTGTTCACACTACACCACACCACACCAGCCATTCATAACTCCCCTCTCATCATAAAAGATCTCCTTGTTATGCTTCCATTAGAACAGAATAAATTGGGTTCCTATGATTTCCTAACATGGTAGTTTAGGAGCCCAAATTGAATTCCCAACTCTGGATTAAAAATGTTCTCTATTCTTCTTGCAAAGAACTTATGAGCTGAAGTAGTTAAACATCAGCATATCTTAAGAGAAAAAATAGACAAGGTGTGGATATTGGATAGGCTTGAATTCATGAATTGTTTGTGGGTTGAATGAATTGTTTTCGTTTCTTTTTTTGAAAAAGGAAAAAGTTGGGCACAGTTATTCAATTTTTGTTCCTTTGTGAATCTATACTGTGAGAGCTTGATTGTGTATGGACATAGGTAGCTTTGAGTAAATAAGACTAGTAACATTGTCACGCAGCACTATAGAGGAGATGCCTTTGTAAGAGACATGATTCTACCTCCAAACTTTGGCCCTCTCCCTTTTATTAAAAAGTACCCACATTTTAAATAAAGTTCTACCACAAAGCATCACCCTTTTTTTTCCTCTTGAGGGACTCTTCTTATTCCTTTTTTGTGTCCCTTGTCTGCTGGCTCTAATACCTGAGTGCCATAACCAGATGCGATTGTGTTCCTGAAGCTACTAACTCGGTAACTCATCATCTGTCTCTTCCCCTAATTGTTACTCTCCTTTGACACGATTGCCTATATGGTAATTTAAATTTATTAAGGGTTGTAGTGCTGTAGTGGTAAATGGTTGCAAAGGACCCTTCAAGTTGCAGTGTTCGAACCCTACTAGTGGCATTTCTTCAAAATTTTGCTGACAAAGAGTGTCTCAAATAGTTAAGAACTAAAAACTCTAAGTTAGAAACCTTGAGTTCAAAACTTGAATAGGTAAGGAGGGATTAAGGGAAAGAAAAAATTATTTTTATTGTATAATTTATTATCTAATATACCAAACAAAACTTAAAAAGTGAAGTTATTGATCTCTAAGCCATATAAACCTTAAGATTTTCAACTCTCTTTTCACTTAGAATTCCCCCATAACATCTTCATGATCAAATCAAAACCTGGGAAATAAAAAATTAAATGCAGGGAAAAAAAGGTAAAAACGTAAAACCTATTGCTGACTACCCGTCATGACAAATCTAAGCGTTGTTAATTTACTCCACTTTCTTTTTCAAATTGCTTTTCAGTTAAATAAAGGCAAGTTCATGTTACCCTTGGGAATCACCGACTCACCAAAGTCATATGAAGCTGACTTCATCTTGAATGAGCTACACCCCCTTTGTGACACACTAAATCCTACATGGGATAAAAGTGTGAACACATATAAACTGAAAAGTTGTTAGGCCAGTAATGGGATACACAAAATAGAAAATCACAATCCTAATTATTCCCGAAACTTGCTTCACTAGAAAAGTAAAATCCCACCGGTGCCAACACAACTCTATTTTGGACCAGGGTTCACAGCATTTGCTTGCATGCCAAAGAACTTCAATCCTAGGAAGTATCCTTTTTGAATTTGGTGGACTGCTTGTGGAATCTGATCCTATGCATAAAGTAATTTTTGAATAGATGCTGCTTGGTTTTGGCATATTTTCTGGTAGGTGGTTCGTCATTAGTGGATTAGATCAACCAAAAAGCTTGCAGCACTGAAAAGAAAATTAGAATAGCCAGTGAATGGATGTCATGCATTGCTTTCTACCCTCAATTTTGTACAAGCTAAACATATTCCTATGTTTGTTTAGGCTTTGAACGCTCTGAAACTTATTGTAAGAAGTTAGATTCAATTGACTTACTGCTTTGTCTGTTTAATTGCTAACTAATTAAGCAGTTAAAGTTTCATAAAGGTTGTTTAGTTCAAATAAACATTAGCTAGAATTTGATTCCATTTTAGACCTAATTTCCAATTATTAGCTGGTATTATTATTTATATGGTAAACCATGTACTTCCATCACTGAAATGGCAAGTTGATTTACCGAGAGGATAATTGCAGACCATATTATTGAAGATTCATCGTGTCGATGACATAGAGTCAGTAATTAAGACTCCCATATGTGAAGATTAAATGTTTTTTATTTTAATTTTTAATTTTTTAATTGGGAAAAAAAGATAAGGTTAAAATGCTAATTTAGTCCCTCAACTTTTAAAATTTTTATCAAAATGGTCCTTATACTTTAACAAATACTAAAATTATCCTTGAATTTTAATTTTGGATACCAAAATAACCCATAGTCCTTTCATTAACGAAAGTGTCACATGATTCGTTATCTTGGCGTAAAATTAGTTCTTTTTTAAGATATTAGTGACATGCAAAATTAAACAGTCATAATTTGTTACCATGACATTTTTTCATTTACACATTAAATTGATTTGTAATTAAAGTTAAATAACTAAATTAGTACTTGTAATTAAAATTTACGTTAAATCTCCATTTTGGTCCCTGAACTATTGTACAGACCCCCGATTTGATCCTTGAACTAAAGAAATTCTTGATTTGGTCCATAAACTATTGTACGGACTCCGATTTGGTCCTTACTGTTTATAATTTTGCCCCAATTTGGTCCTTATTGTTTACAATTTTGCCTCAATTTGGTCCCTGAGCTATTATTTAACAGAAGGATCAAGTTGGGGCTAAATTGATAAACAGTAGAGACCAAATTGGGGATCCGTATAATAGTTTAGGGACTAACTCAAGGAGTCCGTACAATAGTTTAGGGACCAACTCAGGGGTCCGTACAATAGTTCAAGGATCAAATTAGGGGTTTCTTTAGTTCAGGGTCAAATTAAGGGTCCGTACAATAGTTCAGGGATCAAAAGAGAGGTTTAACCTAAAATTTAAGAATTAAGTTGGTACTTGTTTTCAAAGTCAAGAACTAAATTGGTACGAAAAATTAAAATTTAGGAATTATTTTGGTGTCAAAAATTAAAATTCATAGAGAATTTTAATACTTTTTAAAATTTAAAGATAATTTCAGTACAAATCTAAAAGTTGGTATTTCAACCCACCGGGGAAACTACATGGCACTTACATTTTTTTTTCAGTACCGCATACATTATGTCTTTCAAAGATAATTTTTTTTTTTTAAAAAAAAAGAGAGTATTCAATGGTCCAAATTGCATAACATTACCGTTGAATGGAGATAAGTCTCTTGAAATTGGTGATTGTCCCATCCCATGGCGCTGTTTTGCAATCAACAGGGAACTCTAATATTTATTATAATAATTAGAGGTATTTTTCTTAGATTCTGTTCTAATCCCAGCTTAGTTAGTGGTTGTTTTAGTGTCTTCTGTGGTAATTCTCTGTATTGGTATCAGTTCTGTGTTTCATATTGCAAGTTTCTATTTTTTAGTGAGTTGCAGGTTTACATGCAATTTTTTTGAGGGACTCTGCATTGCTTTGGGTCCCAATTAAGGAAAATATCAAATATGATTTTCAAAAAAAATTATTTCTCATCATGATTTCCAGACTTGAATTGTGCATTTCATCATCAGGGCTACATGTCTCTCGTTTTTTACCCTGAAATAGAAAACAGAAAATTTTTGATTTAACTTTAACGAGGTAATTCAATGGTTAAAAGTTTGAGATTTCAAGTCAAAAATTTTAAATTTGAATCTTGAATCGACTGAGGAGGATTTGGGAATATGAGAGGAGTACCCTTCTTATATAACCCATAATCAAATATACCAAAAGAAAAAAAAAAAATGAGGATGTGTTCACATCTTCAGAAATTCATGCTAGTTTTATTGAACTTTATTCTGGCTCTTCTTCTACTATTCTCTTCTCATACAGAACTATATCTTGTGTAAGCCATAGTTGAATACTTCTGTATTTGATTTAGGGAGCAGGTTTACTGGTTTTGCCCTTAACTTACTGGGGAAGGGAAGGCCTATTTTGAATTTATCCTGCTTATTATTAGCTTTATAGGATGAATTAAAAATTTATTCCTCTAAATAGGCTTATATGTGATTGTGAAATATAAATTTACTTACGAGAGTTATTATTCTGTCTAAATAGGAGAATTTGAGTTTTGATGCAAGCCACTTCCTAGTTTTCCTGATTCTATAAAGATAGGGATCTTTCACCATGCACTATTATCAAATGGTTCTCTTATTATTTACATGAGCTGATCTTGATACTCAAGTGTATATTTGTACATTAAAGGAGCACAGATCATGTTTATCGTTGCAAATTGGCCCTTTACTTTGATTCAGACCTTTGAGACGCAAGCACTCCCAGAGCAAATGCTACACCAAGTACAAGAACAATCCCAAGCAAATCTATTGCCCACCCCCTTGGCCCAGCCTCGAGTTGTCTTATGAACTCTTCAGAGAAACTATCTACACGGCCGGTTTTTTTGCTCGGATCTACTTTCTTTTCATTGTTACTGTGACGTCTGCAATCGTATCCTCCATCATCATGTCTGCCTAGATTTTCAGAGTTTCTAGCTGGTTCTTCTGCATTATTCTCTGGTGTTATGCTGCTGACATTTTCAGTATGCTCTTTCTCGTCTTCTTTTTCTTCTTGCCTAGCCAGCTTTGGGACTGTTATGTTGAGATACAACGCATCATATTTTCCAGTGATCTGTTCAGCATCTGAATCCTCTGGCAGTTTATACGTCTGACTGACGTATACAGCTTTGCTCTCATTCACCATCCTTTCCCCACTGAGGATTAGATTGCCAGTGGAAGCAACCTCAAGTCTGAACTGCTCCTTCTTGAAACCTAAAGATGCACATTCAACAGGGGAGCATTAACATTCTTCTTAACTAATTACATATCAGTGGTTTACCTTGTATGTGTTCTAGCATTTCTTT